AACCGAGGAATCTTCCCGAAGATACGCCGAAGGCGCACTTCATTGGGTTAACTCTCATTCAGTAATCCTTCAAGATGCCGAACATGAGCGATAGGTTTTTCAGATGTTCTCCTGCCGTTCGGTTCTTTACTAGCATGTCATCCACATATACCTCCATTGTACTGCCGATCTGCTCAGCGAAGATTCGGTTGACCAGCTTCTGGTAGGTTGCCCTCGCATTCTTTAAGCCGAACGGCATGACGTTATAGCAGTATAAGCCTTTGTCAGTTATGAACGCCGTGTGTTCGCTATCGGCAGGGTGCATGAAGATCTGGTTGTACCCAGAGTATGCGTCCATGAAGCTGAGCAATTCGTGACCGGCAGTGGCGTCGACCAGCTGATCGATGCGTGGCAACGGGAAGCTGTCCTTCGGACAGGCTTTGTTCAGATCGGTGTAGTCTTGGCACATTCGCCATCCACCTTTTGCCTTCCGAACCATGACAGAGTTTGCCAACCAGTCCGGGTATACTGACTCCCGGATGAAGCCTATGGTCATGAGTTTGTCGACTTCATTTTTCATAGCTTCATACCGTTCGACATCATAGGATCGGCGCTTTTGGTCATGAGTTTGAAGGCTGGTGAGATGCTCAGTTTGTGGCTGATGACATCAGGGGATATGCCTGGCATGTCGTTGTAAGACCAGGCAAAGACTTCCGAGTTCTGCCGAAGGAACTGGATGAATTCGGCACGGAGGGTGGCGTTTAACATGGTACCGATTCTCACGCACCGATCCGATTGACACTCGTCCAGCGCCACCGTTTCGAGATCCTCGGCAGGTTGTGCCACTGGAGTGGGCATTTCCTCCCTTGGATCGTCCACTGGTTCGTTGCTGTTCGGCAAGCCTGCAACCGTAAGGGTCTCCTTCTGCTTTTGAGGGGATGCTGATTTCAACGTCGTGGCATAGCAGTTCCGAGCGCTTATCTGATCGCCCCTGATTGCCCCCGTGCCGTAGCAGGTTGGGAACTTCATGAGTAGCATGTGGGGGGATAGGTGAGCCTTTATCGCCGTGAGCGCCGTTCGACCAACTATGACGTTGTAGGCCGTCGGACAGTCCACCACAAGGAACTGGTCGTAGACCATGGTCCTTCGTGGGGTTGTGCCGAAGGAGATTGGCAGACTGACACTGCCGATTGGCTGGACCAGGTCTCCCGAAAAGCTAAGGAGAGGCGAGAGTTGTCGGTTGACCTGGCTGTCATCTATTCCGAGTTCTTTGAATGCATCGGCAAAGATGACATTTACCGAGCTGCCAGTGTCGATCAGAATTCGTCCGACATCGAATTCGGCAATTTTGGCTCGGATGATCATAGGGTAGTCATGTGGGTAGATGATCCCCTCCTCTTCTTCCTCGGAGAAGGTGATGGGTTCCCACCTGACCTTCGGCATCTTGGTATGCCGGCTACTTTCTATGCCGAAGACTTGGGGGTATTGTGCCGCCCTGACATACTGCTTCATTGACCAGTTAGATGCTCCGGCGAGGGTTGGGCCCCCACTGATTGTGCTGATTATGTTGATCTGTCGATTGGCGTTCGACACTGGCGCCTGCTGCGGCCTGGCAATGTACTGATCCAGTTTGCCTTCCCGAATCAACCGCTTGACGATCTTCCGCAAGCTGATGCAGTCCTCAGTGTTGTGGCTATTCTGCTGGTGGTATCGGCAGAATTTCCCTGTATCCCTGCCGTCTTGCCGACTGGGCTTTCGGAATGCTGGCTTCGGGATTATCTCGTTTTCGTTCATCAGTACCGCTTCGTAGGAGGTATTGAGCAGGGTGAACACCTCTGTCCCCTGGTTATGTGCCGGTAGTGGGGCTCGGTAGTTGTCCTTGCCGTACCTGCTCTTGTTTTTCTTGGAATGCCCCTTTTGGGAGCTCCCGGCATCTTTGCGCTTGTGGCTTTCAAGGTATCCGGCGGTTTGCACTGCTGGCGCGAACGGCGATGCCTGTGTCGTGGAGGACCGCTGTATGGGTTCGCTCTGCCGAGCCGTGGTCTCGGCCCTCGAGTTAAAGTATTCGGCCTTGGCGTGGATTGCCCTTGCTTCATGAGTTCATCGTACGTACGCCAGTTGCTGCTGTGCACCAAATACCGAAAGTATGAGGACCGTAGGCCACTCTTGAAGGCGCCGTAGGCTGCCTTGTCATCGGTATCTGGACATCTCGAGTATTCATGGCTGAATTGTGCGGTATACTCACGCAATGGTTCGTCATCTCTCTGCCGGATGGTATATAGATCATCGGCAGAATACAGTCTGTCCGTCTGAATCATAAAATGGTTCAGGAAAATCTGTTTTAGCTCGTCGAAGGAATCTACCGTTCCTGGTTCCAAATGGTAGAACCAGTTCAGAGCCGCTTCCGTGAGCGAAGAGGGGAACAGAAGGCACAGTCCTTCGTCGCTTAGCCCTCGGCACCCTACAGCCGATTGGAAAGAATGAAGGTGTGTCAGTGGATCCTCCACTCCTGTGTAAGGGGTTATGCGTAGGGGCTGTACGTCTCTGTCTTGCCGGGAGCGCCTTATGCGTTCGGTGAAGGGTCCTGGCCGGAGCCTTCCCCAGTCCGGCTCCTGAGAACGAGTTCGATCGTCCTCCATCTTCTGTACCCTTTGAAGGAGGAGGCGGATGACAGGGTCCCTGTCCGGTATCTCCTCCGCGGTTTGATGCACCGATTGCTGCTGGGACCTGATAGGGTTAACTTCAGAGAATTTCATCGGCGTTGCCCAACGGTAGGACGATGGCCGATTGGTGGAAGGAGCGTACTCTCGGTCAGACTCTGCCGTTGATTCCAAGACTTGTATCCTCCGTATTGGAGACTTCCTCCCCATTTTCTCAGTCGGGGATCGTCCAGGTGGGCATTTATCCTGATCGGCGATTCCTGCCGTTCGGACTGCCGTTCGACTTCCCACTCTAACAGCATGTGTCGGCAATCGGAATAGACCTTCTTCGGCACATGGGGCTTATTTCTTGGTGCCGGGACCACCAATTGTTTAGACGGCGCAGGCGTTGCCTTTGCCACCTTCTTGCCCTTCTTCTGCCGACGGGGAGTCTGTAGGCTCTCGGAAGATCGATTGGTCTGGATGTTTTGTGTTTGCTGCTGATTGAGCAACTGTTGTGTTTCGTCCACTCTGGACGATAGGAAGTTGTTGTGTTCCTGCAACCTAGCCATGTCCTGCCGAAGGGACACAACTTGGGCTAAAAGCTCCGCATTTTCAGCGGGTTGGAGTACAGGTGGATTAGTTGCCGGGGTGCATGGGGGTGGCGCTGGGCTAACCCCGCTAGGCATGCCGAACGGCATCCCCTCCTGTGGTAGGAACGTAGCTTTTGAGTTGGTCCCCATGTGTTTGGGATAAAGGGTCGATTTTATCGCTTCCCACATACGGCGCCAAACTGTTGATGCCAAAAAGTGGTTCTCTGACTTTGAGGGTCAACTTAGTAATTTTATGCCTTCGGTATCCTTAAGGCCTCGGTAGTCAACGTGATCTGCAATATGAGCAAACGCACGGTAAGACCTAGGGCACCGGTGTGGTACCGGCCGAAGGCTCTCCGATGCTTAAGTAAGTTCGGGAATAGAAAGTTCAACTGACAAATCAATAGGCTTGTATGCCGTAAGTTCTGATTACCTCTATTTTGGGATAGTTGACCTCTTTTATAGGCCTTGGGAGGTGTGCATTTTGTTGATAATTTCAATGTGGGACTGTGGACGTCGCTTGGGAGCATGCCACGTGTCCCAGGAGGGGGAGTTGCCCTAAACGGAGCGACCGGTAGGTAGGGTGCCGAGGGCCTTCCTGACCATGCTCGATTCCTTCCACGTGTCTTGTTCTCATTGGCTGTTTATTTCGGGTGTAAACAGAGGGAAATGGTTGGCTTTTGAGAGATGGATTTTCCACTGACCCACAAGCCTAATCTCCCTCTCAAAAGAATATTTGTTCTATTTGTGTGGGTTTATGGGTAGGATGGGTGTGTGTTGTGGGTGGGTGTCTATTTGGGCGGGGATGGGTCGAGTAGAGAGAGAGAGAGAGAGGGAGAAAGAGAAAGGAGAAAGAAAAAAAAAATTATAAATATTTTTTCCTATATGTTAATTTTTTCAATAAAATATTTTATTGTTTCTTTTCACACATGGCACTTATGTAGCATACATTTTAGCAAAAGGGTGGGTACATTAGTGCCATGTCAACGTTTTTAACATATTTTTTAATAGAGTTAACAGTGGGGGGCAAAGTGAACCATCAAACCTTGATCAAGGGGGGCACTCTGAGTCACTTTAACTTTCAAATAATAAAATGAGATTTGACCATAATTTCAAAAAGCACTACAGTAAATAAGCCTAAATTTAAACTACATCTCTACCACATCTTCACCCACACAAAATATCTGAGGGTATGGAGGAGCAGGTTTGCATGAAAGGCAATATTACAGGTAACTCTCACTCACCCAAACTCCATAAAAATCACCAGTCAAATTAAAGTACTCTAACCCATACCCTGATAGGCCATGTTTGATATATATAGTATACTTAGGCCCTATTTGTTGGGCTTAAAATGGACTATAATCCTAGCTGTTGTTTGGTGGGTCTAAATGCACTGTGGGACTGGTTAGGCCTCATATCTCGATAGGATACCAATCCAGCGAATGAGGATTTTGTAAACCCAAGTGGAACCATGGGTTTCGAAGCCTCCGCCTCCGCCTCCGCCTCTGCCTTTCGTTGCTTAGAGCACCTCTTCTTTTCATCGTCTTTCTTTTCTTCTTCTATTCATCTTTGTCTCTGATGCTCCCACAGATTTCAAGCAATCTGACACTTCAATCTCTCATGCTCTCTCTCATGCAAATAGGAGCAAGAAAAAAATAGGAAGGAAAGGATGGGTCTGAAGAGAAGGGAAAAGTAGATCTTGACAATAATTTTTTTTCTTCTCATTTTCTGAGTTTCGCCTAAACTTGGAATTGGGGGCCCTTGATAAGGGTTGTCTATCTCTGTTTTTTTTTCTTGCTTCTGTTTGTTTCTGGTCCTGATAAGAATCCCAGATTTTCTCCACCTCTCTATCTCCTTTTGGCTTCAATTTTATTTATTTATTTGCTGTTGTTAATTTTGGTTAATGGGTTGATCGACGCCTTCGCCTGAGACTCCAGCAACACCGATGAACGACGTCGTCGCCTCCGACTCCATCAACACTGATGAACGACAAGGTAAAGAGAAACAAACCCATCTCAATTTGGTGAATTTGGCATCAGATAGACCCCTTTTATGATTTGTGGTTCTGGGTTCAATTCTGAAATGCTTATTATGTTGAAGAAAGGAAATGGTGTAGTTATTTATTTATGTTCAAGCAGAAACTAGATTGACAAAGAATCTAAATAGGCATGATTTGATGAGAAATTTTGGTTTTTTAATTGGCCATGGATTGGTTTAAGTTCCTCTGCAGTTGACCTTCCTGAGATCATTGTCGCCACTCCATTACAACCTCAAATATTATCATGGAATCTGTGTATACCGCTCCTTAAGGTCTTGGAATATCTTCCTCTTGGAATATCTGATTTCTTATTTTTAATTTTGTTTACATGTTTTTCTATTAAATTTAATTATTTCTGATATTAAATAATTTTAATAAATTTTGTTTGAATTCCAATGCAGTCCAGCCCATACTTGTACCAAACAACGGACTGGACTTAGTCCAGTGCAGTCTAACCCAACTTAATGTACCAAATAACTTATTAAAGTCCAACTCAATTCAAGTCAAATCAATCCAACATTTCAAGCCCAATCCTAACCAGTTCAGTCAAACCCACCAAACATGACCTTAACGTACCTAGTTAATCTCCTCAAGCTTCTTCACTATTGTGAAGACTGGCATTTGTAGCTACTAGCTACTCAACCACACAAGATAATTCCCAACTTCTAGATTCAACACCCTGGTTTAATTAAGCTCTTCTTTTTTATTTTAAAAATTAATGTTCATTTGTAGAGAGGTTGTAGCTCTAGTGATTAAGAACATCTATTTATGCATGCATCGGAGGTACTAAATTTGATTCCTCCTTACCTCAATATCGATTGTATAACAAAAAATAATAATTAATTTCCATTCAAATTTTGAATTGTTAACAATATTAGGTTTAAAATGCCTTCAGGAAAATAAAGTTTCCCCTCACCATAAAGAAACAAATACCAGGCTTCCAACAGAAGGCATGGCTAAAAGTAGATTGAGATGTGTTCTAATTAGTGGAAAAAGAATCGTAGCCATGATATCTTTGCATGTGAGACCCGAGAAATATACTTTGTGGCCCCAACCACGCATGATGAATTCTTCTGTTTGTTTTTTCTTTTTTGGCAACAGGGAATGAAGCCCAAAAAGAAAACAAAAGATGTTTTAGCAGCTGTATTCTGCCCACCACATTATAAAGAGTGATATGGTCAAAAAGGAGGCTATATAAAACTCCTTGTATGCCAAAGCTTTTAATAAGATAGATGTAAATATTTCAAAGAAATGGACTTGTAACTCACTATTATCATATTGTTTTTAACTTCATTACCGACAGTGTCCGGAGGAAATGGGAGAATATCCAAAAAAGAAGGTTAGAGAGAAAATTGTTAGCATTCCCACTTCATTATCGACAGTGTCCATAGAACTACCATTTTGTCAAGTTTCAATAGTTTATACAGACAGTCGGTTCATACAATAAATTCAACTCATGTGTGCAAAGCATGACCTGTAGTCCATGTTTTTTCTTGAAATTGCACATCGTTTGGATAATGATAGTGAAATTAACAAGTAACTATTAATTGTGATGTTTCATTCAAACAAAGCGGTTCATTCATTTTAGACTTATACGACTGAATGTAGATTGTTTCTAGAGGTTTGGACAAAATGAAGCATCCAAAAACAAAAGGAAACAAACAAAAAAAAAAAAAACACCACAATATATAGAGAACAACATGTAAGGAAAAAGATATTCATACGTATATATTATTTAGGGTTCGGTTCATGAGACAAGGAATTTATAACTAAGGTGGTTAAAAGCATTTATTTCTATACTGGTCCTAAGTTAGATTACCCCTCTCCCACTATCGCTTGTATCAAATAATAAAATTAAAATAAAAAGCTCGGGCCATGAACCGGGCGGGCTGTCGTATTATAATGATATTAAACACACATTATTACTTAAGAAGTCAAGTTATGCTTTTTAGAAATTCACATAATCGATTTCCTGACTTGTAATAAAAAAACAGCGATACCCTATCCTGACAAAGCAGCGAGGTATTAAATTGCTTCATTAGTATGTAATGGGAGGCCAACTTGTCTCCAAACACCAACATTTTCATACAACGTTGTATATGTATATATATATTATATATATATATATAGTTTGCTAGTGGCAGCGTTTAGATGCAACAGAAGCGGGATTGAGCAGCAGCCATAGAAGCAGAGGAGCGATGGGGATTTTAGTCAAAATTGTGATGATGCCCTGCGGAGAATATTTTGGAAGGAAATGGAATTTACTAGACATAGTCACCGCAGCTGTGTTTCTCACTATGCATTGCCTTTGTGCGATGGCGCCGTTTCATTTCACCTGGCCTGCGTTTTGGCTGGCCTTTGCTCTCTATGTTGTGACGGGGGTAGGAGTTACTCTGTCTTTCCACAGAAATCTTGCTCACAGGAGCTTTCGTATTCCGAAATGGCTCGAGTACTTGTTTGCCTATTTCGGGGTTCTCTCACTTCAGGTATGTAAATGTCAATGTTGAGCAACATAATTTTGCTTAGCTTTAGCCCTTTTCTTTTTGTTTTAGGGGCAATTTTTATTTGAAGTGTTTGTTGTTCTTCTTTTGGTTTTTGTAGGGAAGTCCAATAGAGTGGGTGAGCTCACACAGATATCACCATCAGTTTACTGATACTGTGAAAGATGTTCATAGCCCTCTTCAAGGTTTTTGGTTTAGTCACATGGGTTGGATCCTCGATAGCGGCTCTCGGTTTGGAAATGTAACAAAAAATACACCCAACTCTCTCTCTCTCTCTCTCTCTTTCTCTCTCTTAAATACATTTACATACACCACCACAGTGCACTCATTTTGTTCAACTCTTCAATGGAAATTGTTGCAGTATGGAGGACTGAAGAACGTTGAAGATTTGAAAAGGCAAGCCTTCTATAGGTTTCTTCATCATACTTTTCTTTTGCATTCTTTTCTACTTGGAGCTTTACTCTATGCCGTCGGTGGATTGCCCTTCTTGACATGGGGAGTGGTGAGATATTTTGCTTCTTGTCCTGTTTTCTTTTTTATATAATTGCTCGTTCTCTGTACTTTCTTGGCTTTTTAATAGAATATCTTTTTATGTAATTAATTAAGAGCTGGCATGTACATTATTGTCGCATTAAAGTTTTTCATGGTTCATCTGATTGCCATAAAGTCATAAGACGCATGAATTTAAAAGAATTTTAACTTGCATATCAGTTGTCAAGTTCGAACTCCATAACACCCGATAGTGTGTGTCAGAACACCCCAGCCCCCAATACCACTGGTATATATATATATTTTTAAAACTTAAAGTCACTTTAATCACTTCCATATTAGTCACAAAATATCACCATATTAGTCACAAAATATCACCAAATACTGGTGACTATTGTCAATTTTTTTTTAAGTGAGTATTGAAGGTTAAATTACTCCTTGTCGACATTGTAGGGGGTGAGGATGGTATGTCTTTTCCACAGTACTATGCTAGTAAATTCGGCTGGCCACATTTGGGGACAACAAGTATATCACACTGGTGATACGTCCAGGAACAACTGGTATATATTCTGCCCAATTTCAACATTTTTTTTATTATATAGAAATTGATGAGGGATTTTAACTGTTTTATGGGTATTTTTTAAGTTGGGATATTATTATATGTTCTTCTTCCTGAATCCTGAATCCTGATGAGAGATATTAAATGTATATTTTTTCAACTGTACGTTTAGGTGGTTAGGATTGCTTACATTTGGAGAAGGATGGCACAATAATCACCATGCTTTTGATTACTCAGCTCGACAAGGTTTTGAATGGTGGCAAATTGATGTCACTTGGTATGTAATAAGATTTCTTGAAGCAATTGGATTGGCAACAGATGTGAAAACTCCAACTGAGGCACAGAAGGAAAGAAAAGCTTTACACCACAAAACCATGGCTACTCAGAATTAAGCTTCAAAGCAAATTCCTATTCGCCATAAACAGAAACAGAAGTTTGATGTGCTTCTTAGTATTCAAATGGTTTGTGTACCGAGTTCAGATCTCAAATTATGTGGGGGCAGATACCACTCACGATCGCATATATATAATTACTAAGTTGAATTGAATGATTGTTCCATGGCTTTATCGAATGATTGGTTTTTGAAATGTAAACAAAAATCCATTACTTTTTCACTTTTAGGTAAAAAAGTAAAAAAAAACCAAATTTGGAATGAATGTCATATAGAACAAAAGTTGTCCATACATTGCAACTTGCAAGTCAATACTTTTTATTAAGTCATAAAATAATTTACCTAATATACCAAGTTACTTCATAAAAGAAGGGGATGTATATCACTCCCCTTCTATTAAGAGATTTTTCAAATAAATTATTTGAGGGACACTTTTTAAACAGTGGCAGAGGGAGCTAAGGCCCAAGGTTGGCATGTTCCCCCTCTCAAATCTTCATTGAGGCTATTGTCTTCTTAATACAATCATACTTTTCTTTACCAAATTTTATTTCTCTCTTTGTATTTTTCTCTTATTTTCCTTCCTCACTATCATTGCTACCCTTTCAATATCTCTTATTGCTTCGACTCTTGATTTTATAGTGATAAATTATCGTTCAAATTTTATTTGTGAGTATTTTATATAAAATACATTTCATTTGATTTTTTGCTAGAATCGATAATGAGTAGATAGTTAATATAACATGTAAAATAATGAATTATATAAATTAAAACTAGGGTAATTAGTTTGGTTGTCACTCTAAAAAATATATATTTCAAAATATGAGGTGCCCCTCTGTGAAAATTTTCTAGCTCCGCCATTGACTTTAGGGTCCCTTACAAAAAAAACAATTCAACGATCCAAATCATCTATTTTTTAAGTCTACATTCATAGATCATCCTTGCAAAAAATTAGACAAATTGGAAACTATTTCGATATCCATTGCGTCCTATAAAATCAATGAACATGGTGCTTCAAGAAAATACTAAAATTTCAATAATTCAATTGAGTGGTCAAATGATATTGGATTCAAGTGATTTTTTTGTAGAGATGATCTTTGAATGAGTATCTACAAAATAGATGGTTTGGATTAGTGAAATACAATCCGAAGTAGGCCCTACAAGGGGTGTCCCTCAAATACTTATTTGAGGGATCTCTCTCTCTCTCTCTCTCTCTCTCTCTCTCTCTCTCTCACTCTCTCTCTCTATATATATATATATATATATATATAGTCTTTCTCTAATGCGGATGCTCTGAAAGTCCAGTTGTCCCTTTCACAGCTTGTTTTTTCAAGTGGATTGAATTCCTGAAATTCCAAGTAGTCCACAATTTGCCAATATAAATAATTTATAGAAAAACAATCATGGGTTTGGGAACGTGCAGATGCAGAAGAAGAAAGCACATAAAGCACATGTGGGAAAGTGGAGTTGCAGAAGAAGAAAGCACTCCCATTGGTTGCTCTCACGGCTCTTGATGTTTTTGTTTATATATGCAAATTGTGGACCACTTGGAATTGAAGGAATGCAATCCAACGGCCAAAAAAAAAAAAAGTTGTAGAGGGGATGACCGGATTTTAACAATATGCATTAGAGAAAGATTATATATATATATATAACTCATAAAATGTTGGCGAGTCCTTATTTAGTTAGGATTTTGGTTACTTATCATTTATTTAGTCCTATTATAAATGAGATTTATTTCCTATTGTAATTTAGATATATTTCATATTTTATTTAAGGTTAACATATCTTTGTACTTGTATAAATACCTCCATATTGTAGAAGAATAATAATATAAGCATAACTGAATATTTGTCATACTTTATTTGACATAAAAGGTACGACATATAGTTTGTAGTGGGTACATTATTCAAAAAATGACCCTAGCTACATAACAATAGAACGAGAGTTGGTTTATGGAGAAGCAAGCAACCACTGTTTTGTCTCCTCATTTTATTGCTATTGGCATGTGCTTATTGCCAAAGATAGTGTAATTGAGAGAGTAGAGAACGTGAAATAAGAGAGGTTTTGCAGAGAATGCAAAATCAGTTTTTTCTTATTTCTCATATTGAATATATATCTACAAGTATAGACATAGCTAGAGATAGCTATCCGTTGGTTACAATCCAATTCACAATAAATTACAATCTCCAAAGCATGAGTTATGTTTCCATGTTTCCAGCTTGTTGTGTTCCCCTAAAACATGGAAAGGTGGTAGACAAGCTTTTCCATGTTTCTTGCTTGTCTCAAGTCATTGTCAACACTCCCCCTCAAGTTGGTGCAAAGATATCACGCATGCCCAACTTGTCAGCTGAGTCATGAAAGACTTTACTTGATACGGCCTTCGTCAGAATGTCGGCAAGTTGGTTTTCTGAGTTTACAAACGGAAACTTAATTATACCACTTTCTAGTTTCTCTTTGATGAAGTGTCGGTCGACTTCCACATGTTTGGTACGGTCGTGTTGTACTGGGTTATGTGCTATCTCAATGGCAGCTTTATTGTCACAATATAGGTTTGTGGCATCCACTTGTTTAATGCCAAGATTCTTTAGCAATCTTCGCAACCAAAGCAATTCACATACTCCTTGAGCCATTCCTCTAAACTC